TCAATCATGCACGGCTGAATAATCCCTGCACCAAACAATTTATTTAATCAATCAGCTCAGCGGTAATTCTTCAATCTTTCGCGGATCGCCACGATTTCTTTCCGGTAAGGGGTGAAAAGCAATAGGGAAACGAAGGATATCAGAGATATCGATAGTGTAACTATAGCGGGGGGGAGGTTATTAACATCACGAAATGAAAGTGTACCTGCATGGATCAAGATTATTAGGCTAAGCAGGATTTCCCGGGAATTGGGATTCATGCCCAATAAATATCTCGGGATTTCGGAGTTGACGCGGGGCACGGCCGCACCCCACCCCGGTACTAACTGCATCCGCCCCGGATTTTCAGGGCCAGCATTCCGAGGGCAGGTTAGGAGTTGTGGTGGTGTTTTGTGTAGAGATGAGCATCGGAGAAATGCTGCGGAAACCCGCAAAGTGCAGAATGCTTATATTCGTGTGGTTACATCGTATGATTCAGATATTGTCTACAGAGAGGCTTAGCCCAGGAGTGTAGGGCCGTCCCCCCGCAAAGTCTTCCGAGTCCTAGAATTGCTTGATTAGAACTAATCAACAGATGAACCGTCTTATACATCTAGCTGGCACGGGGTTCTCACCACAGAACAGCGCCTCCCAACTGATTTCCATCGGCGCTCCCACCCGAATTGCCCATATAGTCTGCCAAGCATACGCAAGGTACCGAATGCACTCGCTAAATTGTCCCACATGTTTTTCCGTTGTATCCCTGCTCAACGGTTCTGGTGTCAGGTGGACCTTTCACATATTGAGGTGTTTCGTTCGACGAACAGAAATCGTACATAATTTCTCAAACCAGCGCCACCAGGATCAACTTCCGAGATGGATTGTGCTCATTGTCCGGTCCAGGAGACATATTTTGCAAGTCCCATCATGGTTCCCAGGATTTGTATTTAAGACCCTCATATCCCGTCCCCAAACCTCAACATTAATCGAATTTCACATATCCCGGTTATCCTCTCGTATGGCCTTTCTGCATTCTCTGGTTGAAGACACCTGATTGGTACTAGAATATCTAGAGCAATCCTTAGCAACTATCTCTATAGCTAATTATCGTAAATGCATGATCACTGGCCCTAGAGTGCATGTATTCGACCGCATATACCCACGATACCTATATGCAGTTAGAGTAATCTCAGAAATTTATTAGTGGCGAGCAAACGGACGAGTCACCATACTTGCTAAAACTAGAATCCAGGGGCGCCGAACGTTAATATAGCAATCGACGACTGGTACTTTAGGCGGTTCTGTTTTTGTTTGTGGTGATGAAGGCCGGAATTTAGGGGATGAGTAACGTAACAACGAAGGGAAGCTTCGAAGGGAATGAATACGTAGATGTGAACACTTCTTAATATCAGAGCAGGTAACCGAGGGCAAACAGTGCACAAGCAAACATACATGTTCTTTAGCTTACGTAGGACAACGGAATCGCTATATACCTTAGATGCAACGAGGATGTCAAATTATTTCAGCTCATATAAGCTGAAGGCCAGGACCAATTGAAAGAATTTTTTATTCCTTTTGTGACGTTTTAATGTTTTATAGCTGGTAAAATATATATATAATCGCTGATCTACGGCTTCCGAATTACGACCCTTGTTACACAATGCAAGATGTAACGTAGCTGTCGGCCAGGATATTACATGTACATGTATGTACGTATAGGTAAATCATACATGTATGTATTAGAATATATCATAGTGGTGGTGATGGCTTTTGATGGCGTATGGTACTTTACGTATCGATAGGTATCTAATGACTGCTATGAGGGGAATGGAGGTCACCTTTGATGAGTAGTACGCGCAGCAAGCTCTGGCTAGGAATAATAGCCAATTAAAGATCGACAACATGCGCAGTATTAGTTATCCACGCACATATGGAACAAAAGATCTAAGACAAAATACAAGAGACAAAGTTTACACGTATCTCAGAGGCGTACCACACATGACCAATACCTTTAATAAGGATTGGTTTTTTATCTACACCATCCAACCCATCCAAAGCTCTTCCAGGCAGAAGAGGTTTTCCCTCTCAGCCACTCCTCCGGTATCTCTAGCTTTGGCCCATACCGGGTTCCAGACAGAGAAATCTTGCGGATCCTGTTCGACTACATCTGCATAGTTATCACCAAAATCCATCGCGTATCCCTTCAAGTTTGTCGTCTAGGTGCACCTGGAGTGGCGATGGAGTAATACTTGGTGCACAGAGTATCACTCGTGGGTGTTGGGAACCCCTTTCCGGGGCCGTGTAGAGATCTCTCGACGGTGCAGCACACTGAGCACAGGACCAAGAAGGAGAAACATAGCTGAAATTGCATATACGTGTCACTCGTGACTTGTCGGGTGGAAGAGGGATGCGCCGTTTGTATGGCTGTGACTGCCACGATAACTGTCAAGAGAAAAAAGTCGCAGGTTTGCTTCACCAAAGACACGTCTGCTCCCGTGGTAAGCTTGGGAGTCGATCCTTACTTACATGCATGTATATATTGGCTTACTTTAATATCGTTCCAGGCCATGGGAGAGCGGTCTTTTTGGTCTATACCCCCGGGCTGCCCACCTATATCCTTTATTCTTACTCGCCTCAGCAATCCATCCAAGGCCGAGAGCACAATGTCCAATACTACCACGTCGCGCCGCTCCCCATGCCCGCAATTGCCTTTACCTTTCAAAGCCACCAGTCTCCAGCAAGACTGCATCGACCCCTACGTCCCCTCCTTTTCACTAACTGAAAGTTCTGATCTCATCATCCAGCCCTCTCCACGTCTCTGCCGTAGCGATCTTACAGCTCCCACTTTCAAGGACCTTTCCGAATTCTCTCTATTACGCATCCTTGACCTCGCCCATCCAGAAAAGGAGAACCCGCCACCCCGCCTATTCCCTACTTCGGAGCGAGTGCAAGATCAATTCTTCTTTACTTGTGAGTGGAACGAATTTGGGAATCTCGAGACCGAGCACGCACGCTTGCTATACACCCTTACCCGCTACCCCGAGCGCGGGCTACCATCTGTCTCTCGACCGCTCGTCGAGGCATTACTATACCGTGAGAGTGTCCTTGATGGCTGGCCAAGGATTGCAGGCGGTGTTAAGCTGTGTGCGGAGAAGATGCTGAGTGATGCGCTGGGCCAGATGGTTTTTGGCCAGCGGGGTACTAGAGACCGAAAGGAGGGCTTTCTAACAGCACCCGTAGAGTATGTGACTGGCGGAGGACCTCCGTATCTTCAGGTGTCGCTGTGGAAGCGGGCACTCGCAGAGATCACAAACGACCTACAAAGCGGAAACTCTGGGCGTGTAGAACAGTTTCTGCAAATACATGCATGTCTAAAGGACCCAATCGGTGGGCTAAAGTGCTGCTTTCGGAGACAGATTGACATCTTCACGGGTTTACTGGCGTCATTTCGGAGTTCTCTATCTGGAGAAACTACTGCGATGTCGCCAGAAACATGGAAAGCTGTTGCGGCACAGCTGGCAGCTGAGTCGTCATTCTTAAGCATACCAAGGCTGCTCAAGGTTGTGTATATCCACTTTGTGGGCCACCAAATGCTTCCATATGTCTATGTTTCCCTGGACAAACTACCACGCGCCGAATTCTCAATTCCGAAGCGCGTGCTGGAAATTATGCGTGAGATGGTCGCAGGCACTCCCAGCTCTGGTAGCTCCATGTCTTGCGTTGCACCTATCACGATCGCATACTGCCCTTCGCTGACGCGCGGAAGGAAGGCGGGCAAGGTCATTCTCGATGGTAACAACAGAGTCGCTGCTATCGCGGTGCTAAGGTTCCTGGCTACACTGACCGTTGGCGGGACCAACGACATGGTGATGGGAAGCCTAGAACGCTACTGCACTTACCACGGATTCGATAGCAAGTGGCACGTTGACCTTCGGGATGTCGTCTCTGAGCTGTGGGGTTCTCCGGATATCTTAAAATATCTGCGAGAAGAAGCAAGAGGCATTGTTGCAAAGTTTAGGACGGTAGTGCGCGTTCCGGCACTTGTGGTCCAGGAACCAAGTTTTCATACGGTGTGGGTCCCGAAAACAGGGGCTGAGAGAACAGCATTACTGCAGCCGATGCATCAGTCTATATACAACGATAGGTCCCTTTGCCTCGCCATTCCGGCAAAGCAGCAGTCTCATGGTAGGCCGCTTGGGTTTTGGCCATTGCCCTTGAAGTAGAAAGCGAGCTCTCCCGGTGCTGGCAGCTGGTGAACTATTCATCCTGTAAGAAAACTACATGTGAGACGTTCATGCTTCTATGAGGCGAGTCCAGCTGGCCTGGAGTTTATCTGTTTATGCCAAGACCCCCGTTGTTTGTTAAACTAGGGCTGTAGTTGTTTAAATACTGCTCCTGCAATAAACTGATGTCGAAGCCCGTTTTAACTTTTAAGGTAGATGTGACAACTTTGTTTACTCTTTGATATAAGCTACATGTATGATTGGATGCGGGCGTTATATGAGCCCTACTTCCATCAAACTCCTTATTTGCTGCGCATGCATCGGTGATAAATATTATAATTAGTAGACCGATTACTTGATTACTCTACTACCAATCCCACGCTAAACCAAATTAGTCGACGAGTGACACCCCATGTCCGCCCACAACAACCACAACAACCACACCTTTCCAACCTCAGCACAAATTATTAGCGTAGACCTCTCCCGATCAACCCCAAACTCCGGGGTAACATTCCCGCCCGGCCACGTAGATCCTACGTCACACCCGCTGTCACTCACTTTCTTCCCCCCCGGTGTAAGATTTACGTCATCACGCAAGCCCGCCATGGCAGCAAGGGGCAATGATACAAAACCCAAGAAAATCCACCCACTACAAAATTAAACCCACCCCCCCAAACCAGTACCATGACCACCACCACACTGCGTCTCCGCCTCCTCTCATCACTACCATCACTAACACCCCGCCTGACCACGCCCCTCGTAAAACCAAAACCCCACATCCACATCACGCAGCGCACAATGTCAACCCCCAAGGCCACACCCCGCACCCACGACAACTCGCACGACACGTCCAACCTGAGCCACGACGAGAAGCGCCAGGTGCACGAGAACCGCATGGACCGCCCGCCGTACAAGGTGGAGGGAGAGTTTAGGCCGATCTATAAGGGCGCGTGCTTCTGCGAGAAGGTGACGTTCGAGATTGCGCGGGAGAGGCCGCTGGAGGCGAAGTTCTGCCACTGCGAGGGATGCCAGAGGTTGCATGGGGCGCCGTTTCAATGGGTTTGTATTTGAGCTCTTTCCGCTTGTGGGGGAGAGGGGTGGAAATATGGACTGGCGAGCATGGGCTTCTAGCCGATGTGATCGCTCAAATCTTCGCCGAGAAAAGCGAGGTTCTTGCACGCCACATTTCCTCCATAATTCTACCGGAGGCTGTAGAGAGATATATAGCGGGACAGAAGGATGCTAACAGACAACCCCCAATCTCCAGGCCGCGATATTCCACAAAACCGACGTGCGCTTCACCTCGGGTTCCTCGGAGCTGATCTACTGGCACTCTGGGACCAAATCGCAGGACTACATCCTGCCGTGCAAAGTGTCGTGCAAGAACTGCCGCACGCCGATCATGGATGAGGGGCGGAACATGTTGTTGTTGTTTCCGACGCTGGTGAAGTTTGGCAGCGCGGCGGAGAAGCGGAGGTTCCATCCGAGCTGCCATATCTTTTATGAGCGGCGGGCGATCGATGTGCCCGACGGTCTGCCGAAGTGGAGGGGCCATAAGGGCGAGAGTGAGGAGATGGTGGAGACGATGAGGGAGGAGCATGGGGGGGCGAATATCTGAGGCAGTTGTAATGCAGAAGTCGGTACATGTATTCTAGTAAATATTGGGTGTTGGTTATTGGTTGGAATATTAGTGGAGTGTTGGCGGGGCGTGGTGATTTGATCGCTTGTTGTTCTGTACTAGTGCAGATGGAAGTGCATGCGGTTCGGTGTAACGAACGGTAAGATCGGCAACGTTTGGGACTGGTGCGCAGATCCAGAAGTGCAATGAAGCTGGAGGGAATGCTCCGAGACACTCGCCTAGCTCGATTCAGGATGACGGTGATACAGAATTGAGCTTAATTAAACAGCTGAGGAGCTGAGAGTGAGACCTCATGACGAGCAAGATGATATATCCAGGAGCATGGTTCCCCGTAGCTAGACCCTTACAATAAATCCAGTGTTGGTTGGCTCGACTCTCATAGCCGCAGCGTTCGGTGTTTCGGTGTTAAATGCATGTAGTGTACCACGCATGCGCAGGATCGCCCACCCAGATCCCGATAAGATAAGATAAGATAACCGCACCAAGCCCCTGGGGCTTAAGAATCAGTTGAAATACAATAGCGCAGGTGTCTAAAGCGGTTGTAACTGGAGAAGTACATTGTAATCTCAATTGTTACCGTCACCGTGGTGAGCGGCCCGGGTTCGAATCCCGGGGCGGGCGGTTAACGTGCGGGGTGGTCCGAGCCATCCCGGCCTAACTTGCTGCAGTTTTTGCTGCCGGATTTGGAGGTTCTATTTGTCTGCTAAGTACCGTCCTAATGATTTCTTGCTATTGATTGATTGGAGTTATTTCCCAGCTTTCCGCCCCAGAAAGATACGATGAGCAAAGGTACAATAAACAAAGGCATAGTGGAGACACTAACTGCGGGAGGCAGGCGCTCTTCGTATCTTTCCCGCCCCAAGCCATAGACTGGTTGATTCCCGGCTCCGGTTTTGTGGCTGGTAGTGTTTTTCTTTCCCCCACGCACCGGGATAGTGGTTTGTTTTCCTTTAATTGCCCGCCAAAGGTTTTCATCTCGATGTCCTAGTCCCTGGCGCCTTTTTTCTTTCTTTAAAAAGTACCCCACCCATGTATGTCAAAAGAATGACCGCAGGATACGATTGATGCTAGGTGATTGTGGGTCTCGCGATAAATCTTACGCGTACTCCGCCTATCAGTGCGCGGGTCGCCACTGTAAGGCCCGGTACTCTACATTTACTGCTGGACGTACCTTTTTTTTTTTTTAGAGTGAAAACCACCCTCGACCGCGCTCGTGAGTCACGAGTGATACTCCATGGTCCAAACCACACTGATCATTTTCGTCACGAGCTATCACTCGCCATCCCACCCTCCCCCGCCTACTAGATTCCACACCGATATCGAGACCCGAATGTATGTTTAAAGTTCAAAAGATAATTAAATTTTATAAAGAGTCTATAATTTTTAAAACCCCCCTCTTGCCCCGTTCTCTGATATCTCCTTCTCGCCCCGGCCCCCGAGGCCAATAATAAAATAGAAAAAAGAATAGAAACAGAAAACAAATCCCGATATATCATCACATTCATTAATCCATCACACACCAACAGCCCCCCGCCACTACCACCACTACCCATGTATATTAATCGCACCCAATAAACATGCAAAACCGCAGTCAACGACAAACATGCAATAAAAAAAACAAGAAAATAAAAAACAAAGAGAAAAAAGAAAAAAAAAAGAAAAGTAGATCCCCGTAGTAATCTCATTTATGTACTCTGTCCCCCCTCATCTCCACAGTCCTTCTCACCCTCACCTCACCTCACCTCACCTCACTCCCCGCCGCCGGAGCTCACCGCTCACGGCTCCGCCTCCTCACCTTCCATACCAAAAAAAGCCTACATAAAACACAGAAGCAGCCCCATTAAGTCCCTAAGTAGTAAGGCAAAAGAAGAAACAAGAAAGAAAGAAGAAAAAAACCAACACGATCGCTCCACACAGACAAGACAGACTAAGATAACAATAAAAGCCAATAAGCAGTAGCTATACTAAAGAAGTGATTTACTCCAACTCCCCCCAATGTATAAGACAAGGTGACCGATTCGTAAGGAAGAAAAAAACAACACTCCACGAGAGACATGACAACAGACAGTAGTAGTGTAAGAGAAAAAACAAAAGAAAGAAAGAAGAAGATCACGCCGAACTTAACCTACAGTCCCGCCTGTAGACTCTCCACGGCATTGACCATGCCCTTCTGTGTATCTATACTTCGTTGTGCATCTTCAATTTGGTAGCCTAACACGTTGACCAGAAAGTCCATCCTGCATAGCTTGTTAGCAATCACGCCCCATCGTTAAACACATAGGGGAAAACTTACTTAGCCTCCCACACATGCCTCTCCCTCACCGCCTCATACCCTTGACAACACAGATCCCACACACGCCCTCTCCTGGCTTTATCCACCGTCTTCAGCCTGATCTCAAACACACCCGACACCGGCCGATGGTCACTTGTCCTGACCTCCCATCTCCGATAGGAGTTCTCCGTCTGCTTGATCTTCCCGAGCCCTCTATACAGCAATCGATCACACCACGCCGGCGACCTCTTCTTCTCACTGCTATCGTATGTGTCCGTCCCTACGTCGTACTTATATGTCGGCCTGAACGTGATGGGCGACTCATTGAACGCACGTAACCTGAAACCGGGGTTCCGTTTCCGCTCCATGAGGAGCTGGTCGCGCTCAAGCAATGCGGGGAGTTGGAGGTTCTTGGATCTCTGGATGACCGAGTCGCGGTGCATGTCGATTCTGTAATTCAAGTCTCCGTTAAGGATACAGATTTCATGGTCAAGAATCATGCTACCGTCGCCTCCACCGACAAAAATGTCTTGTGCTGCTGGGTCGGCAGGAAGGCTAGAAGACTCAAGAATTGCAGCAATATCGTTGTTACGAGAGACAGTGTGTGACTGGCCAGCGGCAAGATGGCAGTTGATGAAGCAAAGTGACGAGTCATCAAGGAGGAAACGGATGATGAGGGCGCCCTTGTTTCCGTGTAGACCACCGAGACCACGTTTGACGGTTGCAGCGCTAACGTTTCGGATCGAGCGGCGTTCGGCGGACTTGACGAAGATACAGGTGAAAAGACCTACGAGATTTGCCGAGTGCAGGAGGGTATAGGGCTCGTCTCGTGGGAGGTGGGTTTCGATCGACTTTGTGAGCTGCTGTTGCCAGAGACGGTACTGGTGCGACATATGGGCTTGGTGGTCGGCAGCCTTCTTCTTCTTCCCGCCCTTGAGAAGGGTTTTCGCCGTAAGCTTTTTGTTCTCGAGATCGACAAGCTCCTGGAAGCCAAAGACAATGATATCTGGTGACTTGACGCTAGTGAGTACGTTTTCGAGGAAAACGCGGTCGTCGGCGTCTTTAAGCAGGTCCTGAGGCTTGCAGGCGCCGGCATTCCAGGTACAAATCAGAGCTTTAATCTCGCGGAAGGAGCAGAATTCGGCGTCGCGCTTTTGCATCTCGCCCTCGAGCCAGTCTTCTTCAAGCATACCGTCCCAGAGACGGATGATATTGTCCACGCCGAGGGAGACAACTTGCAGGCGGCCGGTCTTCCAGATGCTGGTTCGGTCGGCGACTACTTGGACTACAGGCCCGTTTGAGCATTGCCAGTCCTTCAGCACTCGCCATGGCTTCGAGCGGACATCGTAAACGTAAATCATCCCGGTCTTAAACCCGGCCCACAAATAATCACCGACACCACTCATGGAGTTGATCTTATATAGCGAGATACTGATGACATCGATGCACGTAAGCTGCGTCCTCGAGTAGATCGACACCTTGCCATCCGAGTGCCCAAAATATATCTTCCCTGGCTCACTGTTCACCACCGCACCACAAGTGATCTCACCTGTCGGCTTACTTGGTGCCAACGGTCGTTGTGTCAGGTTAAAAGGTATACTTGGATCAGTACTGGGTTGATACACATGCACGGACTTCCCCGCGCCTATCCATAGTAGCCCATCAACAGCGAGTGAGAACGTGTGCTTATTCGGGATTCTGAAGGTCGTCGGCGAGTTCTTTAGGTTTGGCACGCCGTTCACATCCGGACCCCACACCTGTAACTTCCCACCCTCATCGAGCGTCCACAGCTCATACCCGCAGCGGTGGATCTGGACAATCTCCTTCTTAACATGCGCGCTTGACCTTGAGTCGATCACCCGCTGTCCCGCAATATCCACCTCCAGCAGCTCACCGTGTGAGGTACCTAGCCACAGCTGCCGCCCCTCATCCTGGACCTTGATTGAGGGCTTGAAGGCAATTGCAGTTATCCGCGTGCCCTCAGAGTGGGGGAGCGACATTATACACTGACCGGTCTCTATGTTCCACACGTTCGTTGTGTGGCTTGTAGTACACACATACTGCCCGCAGACAGCGAACAATCGGACATCATATTTACACGGGATTTCTCGTACGCCTTTCTTGAAGCATGGGAGCCTTCTGTTTGCCTGCGACGAATCCGGATACTCGCTCAGCGACGACTGATCATCAGCACCCTCATCCGAGTCATCACCGTAGCCAGTATTCCGGTCATCTCTTGAGCTCCCAATAAAAGTGTTACTCCTAGCAAGTGATGGCTGCCGTGACGGCGAATGGCTATTTGTTCCAGGCCTTTTTGGCGGCGGGAGAAATGCTGATGGATTAGGTACAGGCCTTTCAGGAACAGCAGGTTCAGCATGTCTGGGAGGCGAATAACTCCGTCCCCTCATGCTCGGGACCCTAGCCTTGATCCCTCCAATTATACCTCCTCCAATTGGCCTCGGTGGTAAATCCGGCCTCATCCCAGCGTCGTCCAACGATGTCCTCTGCCCACGAACTGAATCTTCAAATTTCATCCTTGGCCTAACCTCCTCCCTCGACATCCTCGGCGGGGGCGGTGGTGCCGGCTTACTCGCTCTCACATCAATAACGTTCCCATTCCTCTCTCGTGCTGCGTTCGCGTTCGGGGGTATGGGTGGAGGCGGTGGTGGATTGTAGCTCAACGGCGGGGGAGCATAATACGCCGAGTTGTTCGTAATCTTGCTCTGTATTTTTGGTCTTGGCCCTGCCTCATTATCCGACCTACTCGGCGAGTTATTTGCGCTCGACGGTGGCGTGCTAAACGGTGATACCCGTTCCTCCGAAGACGTCGTCGGCGCTGCCAGCGCAATCCCTGCAAAATCCGGTCTTGTGCTTTTCGGGGGTATCATGGGCGGCTTACTTGTGATCTTCGGCTTCGAAGTCCTTGCCGGGATCGGCGGTGCGCAATTATGCTCGTCATGCACCACCTGCAACGCCGGACTCAGCGGCGCCCGTCTCACCGCAATAGTATTATTTGGCAGGCTCGGTCTACGATCAAAATTCGGCGGGTCATCAAAGCACGAAACTGGCGCGGGCGCCGGCGGCGCGGGTGGTCTCACGGCAGCCCTTACCGAAGTAGACACCGGGGGAGGTGGGGGGGCGGCGCGCTTCTCTGTACCAGGCGATGGCGTGCTTCCACGGCTCGGAACCTTATTATTACTATAGGGCCTTGCTGGTGCATTAGTGCCATTCAACGGCGCGTTGAGAACCGCGGGTGCGGGTGTTGGTCTTTCCGGCGATTTATCCCGGGCATCTATGTTTAGCGGCGGCGGGCACTGGGGAGATCTTGGCGACTCAACGCGAAACGTCGGAGGTGACAGCGGCGGAGAGAATGTGCTGTACATTGAGAGCGGCCGCTGGCGGGGGCCGTGACCGCCGAGTCGCCCAGGAACGGTCGCGGAAAGGTATTCGCGGTACGACTTCTTGGCCGGGGGCGCTGCAGGGCTGCTGGAGTAGGCTTCTCGGGGAATGTCCAGGGAGGCTCGCGTGTAGCTATTGGTCTCGTGTGATTCTCTGAACGGGTCGACGCCTGTATGTGCTGGTCTGAGGGGCTTTGGTGCTTCGGGCGCTGCTTGATGCGATCTCGAGGATGTCATTTGCTCAAAGCGTGAGCGCAGTGACGAAACGGAGGCCTGAACGGGGGGGTTAGCTGGCGGGTAAACAAACGGGGGGTAAATTGGAGCCAGAGGATCGTGAACTCCTCGAGGGGCCTCTCACGGGCGGTGTATCATCTTCGGCATTTTCTTGTTGCATGGCTGTAGCGATCAAACGGAGCGAACGGTGGATTCTCGACTAGCTAGAACAGAGCCCAACAGCTTGCGATGAAGGGGGGATTCCAACCAAGGGGGGAAAGAGGACCGATCCAGCGGGAGCCAACTAAAATGATGGACAATGGAGAGCACGATAGTCGATAAATGTTTAAATTTTTTTTATCTATCTCGGTTGTGATATTGAGGGGTTGAATTTAGATGGAGGTATCTCTCGGCAAGCTTTCGACGTGAGCAAGGGGTGTGGGTGTGGAGGGGAGGGGGTTGGTTGGTTGGTTGGTTGGTGGATCCACAGGGGGTTGAGTCGAAAAGAGAGAGAGTGAGCGAGAGAGAGAGAATGAGAGAGGGAGATGAACAGAACAGGGAGAAAAGGAAGAAAAGTGGAGTCGATTCTCCTATTCCATTCACGCAGCAGTAACAGACAGAGGAGGCCAGAGTGTTCTCGATGATGATTGAATAATATAATAGTATTATTAAAAAATACTGTGGTGTTTTTGAAGCTTGACGAGGATGGATGAAGGGGAAGGAGAGACAGGCAGAGTAGATGGTGATGATGGTATCTGACAGCTTGTTTTTTGCCCTAGGATAGGAAAGATAGATAGTTGTGCTGTAGGTAAGCTCTGTTTGGGGGGCAACAACCAGCCAGAGTCCGTCGGTCAGTGGTTGTGGCTTTTTTTTCAGTGTCGCGGTTTCATCAATAATAACGTTCCTGACAGAATGAACGGCGGCTCTTGAAAGTTTTCTGGAAGGTGTGTGTGATGGGGGCCTTTCTTGGCAGTAACGTTCTAACCTCCGAAGACTGAGTGCTGTCTCTCTGGGTGCTCTTAGTCTGCTCTATGGGCCATACCCAATTGTGCCCATGCACCCTTCCATACTCTTCTCTACACCCATGGTGCCCCCCCAGTAAACATAAACGATCGAACCCCTCCCCAGCCACAAAAACAACGCACAAACACACACCGCAACGGCCAAAATAGCCAGCCACGAAAGGGGATGGAGATCTCACGCAACAGGCGTAGCGCTGGACCGATACGTCAGGGAGGACGCGTCCTGATGATCATCCGAAAACTCAAAAGTGGGCAACTCCACTCGACTCCACAAAGCGACAGTCTTCCAGTCACTCACTCTACAGTAGATCTCTTCCCACAGCTGTCAAACCCAAGGGAAAAAATAGAAGATGTTGGTCATCACCATCACCCTGCCTGTCGGTAAACCGACTGCCCGGTCAGCTAGTTAGGGCGTCCCTCTAAAAAAAAAGAAAAATAACCTACTGTGCCTTATGTACCAGACATACCGCGTCCCTGACCCAAAAAAAAAGACCCTTATGCTCCCACGTGTTTGTGCAGAATCCTCGCCACCACAGCCGCGCACTGCCGGCGAAAGAATTACTGTTTTCATTTCTATTGTCACTGGACTGGGAGCACGTGCGTGTGTGCCGAAAACATCTTCTGTCATCTGGTCTCGCGATTGAATGCCGCATGGAGTGCGACAGGGTAAGCTTTGTCTTGGCTAGCCATGGGAGAGACATGGATGGTCACTCGGTGGTGTCATACACAGCAAATGACAACGTGATCTCCCCACACGAATTTTTAAACTAATGGGAGAAAATTGCTAGCTTGTCTTGATCAAAGATACAACGTGATGCAGCGTAGTGAGCCAGAGTTAGGAAAGTGATTCAACCGATCAAAGGTTTGTGTCAAACAACTACGTACACCTCATATCATTATTTTGACTCATCTTATGTTATCAACAGTTTTGTATTAAAGCTCGAAAGCCTACGTATACTCTGTGTATCAACACTAATATTGTGGCGCCTCGATCCTGTAAATTATAATATCCTGGGAAATCAACCTATAGCTAGCCTGTACGAGCAGTTATGCAGGTGTTCATTCACTGTATCTGCCTCTCGAGCATACATGCTTCCTGCTATGTCCAGAAACGAACCAGGAAATTTGTATCCGACTATGTATAGGGTTAACCCAAGCACCGCAGCAGCGTTTGGTACTCCATAGCCCAAGTCTAACCACAAGTGAAAAACCGAATGCACCCGAGTCCCTGTCAAAGGAAGCTTTCTAGCCAATTCGTTTGTGAACTGAGGGCCAGTTCTTGTGTGTAAACTTGTAATCGCCGAACCCACAGTCAGGTAGTAGAGAAGTAAGTAATTGAAGATGCCAAGCTGAATACCACATCAATGGGTAAATAGAAAAGTTCCGAAACCCAGATGCTAGAGCACATACCAAGGTCAATTCCCATGAACTATTCGAAGCCCCCAGTCAGCCGTTTCGAAAATGAACCCAAGGATGATCTCAGGTACTAGGTATGCCTGTTCTAGAAATTCTTCAATTGTACAGGCTGTTGAGAGTCTTCCAGCGAGTGATGGGCCCTGACCGGACATTCATAGGACACCCAGCGCTAGAACGAGAACATTTGCTCTTACCAACCACCCCATCTCATCTTGGGTGGTAATTGGTGGTCAGACTGTCTAGGTGGTACTCACGTTAGAGGATGAAGACAAGTAGGAGAGGGAGGGGAGGGTGCAAACGGGGGTTGAGGGGTGGTGAAACGCCATAAGGGACTAGAGCTGTTCACTTACGTACCTCAGCGCAGTTAGACTTGAGAGATGGTAAGTTTTCGTTTTTCATTGGTGGGGTTGATGGAAGATGATGAGTTCTATTGAAGCGATGTTCGAACGCTGCTGTGTCGGTGACGGTGGTGGTGTTGGGGCCGACGTCGGAGTGGGAAAAGATGAAAAATGGTCGATTTGCGGTGTCCTGATATCGATAGTATAAACCACATGTGAGGTATCTGTAGGAGGCCTTCAACGGGGTATCAACCAAATGGCAACGGGTTCAACAGGTCCCTTCACTGGCGGAGGAGGACCTTGGCCCCGGGGGGGGATCGTGATGGAAGGCCCCACCCAAGGGGAGGTCGATTCACAGAAGGTGGTGGGGGAGGGAGGTGGGTGGTTTGGGGGGGGGGGGGGGGGGGGGCGTCCCATATTGGGGAGATATGTATATATACAATTAACTGGAAAGATCAAACTCGCGGTCGCGAGTCCCCTCAACTGCTAGTGTTATGTAGTATTCGAGGGTCACGGTGGAGGACGGAAGTATGCTACCGACTCACTAGCGCTCATGAATTTTTAAGGGAATTAGAAAATTATCTGCCATCAACCACTTCCTGTGGCCTAACAAGCTGAAGTGTCGCCCAGAGGGGCCGAGGTCGATAGTTCGAACTTCTCAGACTTGTGGGAAAACATACACTTGGTGCTGGGTAAAGGAGCAGAGCGGGATGCCTCTCCTTTTTGCCGTTTTGGACCTTGCAACACGGAATTCCTTTTTTTCTTTCTTTTTTTCGCTCCGTTTTTTTGAGCTTTGGGCGGCACCCACGAACTCCTCAAGGGTCGTACTAACTCGTTACAATGTACTTCTCCAGTCACAACCGCTTTAGACACCTACTCTAGTGCATTTCAACTCATTGTTAAACCCCACTCCAGCGTAAGAGGGCTTGGTGGACTTATCTTATCTTGGTCCATAGTCCAACTGGCACTGCCGGTCCCAAATCGAAGCGGGAAGTGTGGTCCTAAACGAGGATCTTTTCGATGTAAGCAAAATACAGCGTACGTGGTTTCGATACAAACCGTGCTTAGAGTATGGCGCTAATAAATGGGGGGGGTTACAGTCTATCGGCACCTATAGTAGGGCGTTACAGTTTCGCTCGTGAGGTGGTTGTAGCCCGAGTGACATCCTATGACGAGAACGCACACGCCATCACCACCATCACCACCATGACTAGAATTCCCTCCATAAGACACAACAACAACAGGAACCTGCAACATGACCATTCTCATCACTCTCGTCACCCTGACATTCTCATCCTACCAAGAGCCAGACGCGAGTCGTGCTGCAGCCTAGTGTGACCAGGCTCCGTCGAGCATGGAGAGGCGCCGTTTGGGGATTAAGCTCGCGCTCCAGTGGGTGAGACTGGCGGGGCGAAGGGTTGGTGAAGGGTTAAGGCGGTGACATGGCGAGCGTGGGGTCTGGTGGCGGGCGAGAGGTGATCAACGGGCTAGAATGAGTGTGGGAGATTCAGAGGCGATGATTATGCCACCGTGGGTACTTATTCGTGACCAGGTGTACTGACTGGATGATAGAGTCTGGTTCAATACGACTTCTCTCATGCTCATCTCGCCCCATGCTACCTCTAAAGCCTCGAGTCTGCGAGGGGAGAATACGTATCCGTGATCTTCTTAACGTCAACCCCAACTTTCAACCATTTACACAACTCCATCTAGAAAATCCTACCCTGGACTACAACTTCGGTCATCCATCTTCTATTTGTCACGGCTGATATGGGTGCTTTGGGCCTTCTCACAACTCGGAGAGAGCGGGCCTACATCACTCCTCCAGCGCTGGCTCGGCCGGCACCAATACCACAGGACTCAGAGTAGAGGAAGGAGGTATTGAATACCAATTCTGTATCTTGAATACGAGCATCCGTGTGGCTCTGCAGGCCATTCGGCCCTATCCTGGCGGGATATTACGAATACGTCGAGATACAGGTAATTTTAGATCGTTCAAAACACGCCATCACCCCAGCTCCACGATGATGAACTATTGGGCAAATCGTAGCTAATGGAGCCACTTAAGACCAAGCCTCTGGTTGTAAGAGGGTATCCTGTAGTGCTCTATTCTCATATATATCTACTGGGTGTATATCCCACTAGTCAAAACATCCTGCGCATTTCAAGATGATTGCATGGATCACTGCGCTACGGTCTCGCCGAACTCCCCCGACGAACATACAAACTCACAAACATGCCCCCCTCCACACTATAGCCCGCGTCTACCATATAACAACTCCCTCATCAGCAAGCAAGCAGAAATGGTGAGCGATGAGGGGTGTTTTGTAAGTCTCAGCCTATGTGAACAGGACCTGACATCTCCGCTGGTACAGCAGAAAGACGGTTTCAGTCATACGGTGTCACTCGATCACGTGCAGGACCAAATGTGCAAGTAGACGATGGTAGCCAATAAGAGAAAAGGACAGCTGGGAAGAAGTAAATTCTGCAGAGAATACGTCTTCTAAAAAAAAAAAAAAACACCTCCTCGCTGAATATTGCAATCAGGATCTGTTGGCTAGCTAGCCGCTGTTAGAGTACCGACGAATTAATAGGGCGGAGTAATGCTGAAGCTAAGGTGAGAACTACCTCGGGCTGTACTTATTGGGTTAAATTTAAGATTAGCATACGCCTTGCGCCAATAATATGTGGGAGGAATACGATTAATCAAGCTGCAAGACCTTTTCTAGGCCTACATGCAGTTACCGCCACGCCTTACCAGCAGCTGAAGGGGACAAACTTCTTCTTAACTCTACTCTCGCTCTCTGGTATCCATCAGTTGAAAACAAACTTTATACAGAACGTAACCACGCCACACCAGTGTCTCTCTTCAACTCACGGATTATCACTCGATATTCGATCATTGTGAAACCATACTGTCCAACATACTCTATCCTATTTGATCTATGACCAGATATATTAACCACTTGCGCTAGATAGTACTTTTCTTCGCAACGAGGACGCGGGCAACCCCCCCACGTCCGCGCCCAGGCGCCACCTAGGACAGATTCGGTACTTGATCGATCTCTTTGATTTTATAGACAAATTACCCACGGCTGGCTGCCCGAACCAATCATTCAACCTTTCCAGCTCTTATTGAAGCGTTGGGAAATATTCGAGAACGGCACCAGAATAGCTGAAGTGGTGTTGCCGTACAGGGATTTTATACGACCATAGGATCACAAAAATCCACGAAACTCAAATTATCAATTCCGAAAACACTTCACCAGCACACTAGAAACGAACTAGAATCTACACATACACTGGTTATCCTCGTTTTCCTGGCTAAGCAATACCCACTGCTGAGAATTTTTAGCCTTGGCGTCTTTATTTTATTATTATTCTAATAATAGAGCGACCAAAACCAACAAACCCCTCTTGGCACGACTTTACTATAAATGCGCAGCTTTCCCCCATCTCTTTAAAACTCCATCGTGCTTCCGTTGGGCTAGTCTCCAGTTGAGACTACCCCTCGGCACCACACCCCATCTCTCTTGAGTCCCCTGGCTCTCTCGGTTTCTTAATGAAACCGGGAACATGGCTCTTTCTCTGGTTTCCTCGTTTTCAATTTACGGGGACCGGCGAAGCTACGGTTGCAGTGATGTTTGGTGGGTTAGGGTTCCTTTTGCGTTTGTAGGTTTTATAGCTTCATTTGGTAAATATTAATAGTTTTTTTTTTTTGTAAATAGCTTCCTAGTTTCACTTTCTTCTTGTAAATAACAGATATTTTTAATACCAATAAGCTTTTTTTCTTCTCTTCTCGTGTGCAGTAGATACATGTACTTACGGGGCCTTTTTTTATCTTCTTCACAGGAGATGACTACATACTTCTAGTGATTTTCGACCGCACAGAGCAAACGTTCCTCGTAGATGATAGCAGGACCCTTTTCGCAGTGACATTCTACATTTCTCGTATAGCCTTTTTATAGGCACAACGTTTAATACAGCGGAGACAGTCTAGATTTAAGAAAGCCTACCTTTTTGGCCTGAAGGTTCCGGCCCAAAAGCCGGGCCGACTCAGACACTGTCTTGTTCTAGTTCTACTTCATATCCCGGTTAGATATACGTATCCAATCTGATTACTACCAAGCTAGAACCACAGCCGCGAAACATTGTTTCTGCCGACACTACAAGGCCAAAGCTCCCTAATTCTGGAAAGCTCTCTTAGAGAATCTTACTACAACCCCAGAGTCGATGGTAAACCACAAATTCTTTACTCCAAGTACTCAACATGTCTGTATATAAATGGTCGCGAATCGCCATAAGCGCGTCTATTATGGCCGGGTAGACAAAATAGACTCTTAGAGTATGTTCCATGCTTATCACGTCCATGAAGTATTAGAACCCAGTTTAACTAATCATACTTATCTGCGACTGTTTCCTGTCAGCTTGCTCCGACTAAGCTCCCATTGGTGATATCCTACGCCAATTTCCTTACCCATTAGTAGCGTGGGGTCCGCAATTCTCCGTCGCCCCATCAAGTTGTCTTGCACAGACCACCTAACCACAACCCTGCATAGTAACGCCGATTATTGGCCACAAACTGTGGGGTGCATCTCGTCCTTACTTAGCGACGTAACACAACACGACCGCTGTACCTCGGCCTCGGCTCAAGCTATCGACAGCTCCCCAACATAACCCCGATATCGCCATATTGTACTTTAGATTGTAGATACATAAACTCCCACCGAACCTAATATCTCCCTCACAATTAGCTAGCAATGAGTTCCCAGCCCCTACCTCTCGCCGGCCTCCGCGTAATCGAATTCGCTGGTCTCGCCCCCGGCCCCTTCTGCGGCAAGCTCTTGACCGACTACGGTGCATCCGTACTCCGAATCGACCGCCACGACGGGACCCAAACTCCCACGCCGGACCTCCTCGCATCAAACAAACGCTCGCTAACACTCAACGTCAAGTCTCCCGCCGGAAACAAGCTCCTACAGAAACTCCTCCTCACAGCCGATGTCCTGATTGACCCGTTCCGGCCACAGACGCTGGAGCGTCTGCAGCTCGGCCCAGAGATGCTGTGTAGAGCTAATCCGAGGCTCATATATACGCGCCTCACCGGTTTCCGGCGCGACGGGAAGTATGCGGCCATGGCTGGGCATGATATTAATTACCTTGCCGTCTCAGGCGCGCTCTCACTCCTGGGTGCTGCGGGAGCGCCGCCGTCGCCGCCAGCGAACATATTGGGCGACTTTGCGGGCGGCGGGGCGATGGCATTTATGGGGATATTGTTGGCGCTTGTTTCGAGGGGTGTGAGTGGGAGAGGGCAGGTCGTGGAGGCAAATATGGTAGATGGGTCAGCGTATTTGGCGATGTTTCCGAGGTTTTTGGTGAAGACACCGACGTGGAATAGGGAGAGGGGGGAGAATCTGTTGGATGGGGGCGCACCGTTTTATCGGTGTTATAGGTGTGCGGATGGGGGGTATATGGCGGTTGGGGCATTGGAGGAGAGGTTTTACCACGTGTTTGTGAAGGGGCTGTTTGGCGAAGAGGCGGAGAGCTTACCAAATAGAGGGAATAGACGTGATTGGGAAGCATTGAGAGCGTTGTTTGAAAAGAGATTTGCGGAGAGGTCGAGAGCGGAGTGGGAGAGTGTATTTGACGGGACAGATGCGTGTGTAACGCCGGTTCTGTCATATGGCGAATTGGAACAAAGTGGATTTGAACAGAGGCCGGCTGTGACGTTGACGGGATCGGAGGCGTTTAAAGAAAGAGAAGGTGAACAGTGGTCAGGGAGAGCACTGAGTCCAGGAGAAGGGGGTAAAGAAGCCTTAGAGGAGTGGTGGGGATTGAAGGAGGGAATAGAATGGACGGTTGGTGAGGAGGGGTTCGAGAATCTCGAAAAGAAAGTTGAATCGAAGCTATAACTATTATCTAGCTATAAAGTAGATAGACGCTTTGTAGAGAAGGGTCTACGATACACACTTTTCTCTTCTCAAAATATTTTCGTTAGCCTATTCTCTCAAGCTCTGTCGGAACAGTGTGATCTTCCCATCTGCCCTCAGTCCCCACTACATAATGACGGCTGAACATATACACAAACACATCTCTAGTCGTTACAACTATCGTAGGAACAGCTGGGCTCAAGGATCAGTCTTCAGCTCCTTTCGGGCCATTATGCCGTTGAAACCCAAGAATAGGATGGGTGGGATGGAGGGAGGGATATAGTGAATTCCCACATTTCACCGTGAAGGTACAACATGATCATTTCTTTAGTCTGAAACCATCTCCGGAGCCTAAACTCCGCGGCAAAAGCCCACAACCCCAGTACCGAGCCCATAGCCGCTGAGATGATGGTCATTAGAGTTCTGCGAAGAAGTATCGAAGGGGACTTACTGTGACTGCTCTGTTTTCTTTACCAACACACACAAACCTTCTTATCATCTTTTATTTCCTTGTCATATGTTAACCACTATACTTTCATCCCAAACAATTCTTTCCATCACGAAGCTCTCCCGACAGCAGCACCAGGCGTGAACCACAGTGGCGAACAGGCGAAGACAAATCTGGTAGTGGGGAAAGAAAGTACTGGAACAGAACAGGGGACACGGCCAACTAGACCTAACGGCAAGCTGTCTCTAGGAGGAGATACATGTAGGCACGGGACTAAGCTAGCCCAAATATACTAACCTAAACTTAATCTAACTCTCTGTCCTTAGTGCTTACATGTAGTGTCAGCGATCATCACAGTATATCACTCGCGCGCCAAGAGGAGCAGAGGAGCAGATAACGCAGCCTGTGTCTCGACCTAATGCTAGTCGACCTGCCAACAGGCAATAGCGCCTTCACCAAAACTCTAAAAACGCCTGCCCAATGCCGTCACTCAGCCTATCGAGTCTCTCAGCGCACCCCGGCAGCTTTTACCATAACCTGCCTCGGCTTTAAAGCCGAGGTGCACATGCACGCTATTCTACACTCACATGAGGTTCTGGAGTATAGTATGGCATCTGAATCTTCACCCAATAAGCCCGGCAGCCAGTGATTGGCGATAATTCCGTCCGTGCTCGCGATACGCATACGAGAACATCTAGGCATCAGGTCACTTGTTTGACGAGTCAGAGTGTACCTTCTTGCGCCGCCAAATATATTTGAAAGAGGAAAGTGATGCAAGATTGAGTAGTGCTTAAACTTTCTCAAGTGAAGAGTCTGAACTAATGAATTTTTCGATATTGAGTATAATGGGGGTTCTAGTGGTGTTACGAGTATACGTATAGGGTAAGGACTCGCCGTTATTGATTAATTAATTTGTTCCTTGGATTTTGTTTCTTTTGTTTTTAGTCATGGGGGATGTTGTTCTGGAACGCCCTCTCAACGGGTTCCTGTGAGATAATGCTGCCTAAATTACCGCTTTCAAGTAAATCTCAATTCGTTACCCTGACCTAGTCACTTTTTC